TACCCAGGAGACCACCCTTGATTCGCCTATGGGGGACAGGGAGTAGTTTAGAATTCGGGTTTGGAAGGAAGACGAAGGTGAGATTATTGGCTGGGAAAACTTCGGTTGGAGGTGGGAACTGGAAACAGGCTGGGTTTTTTCTTGGGGGGGAAGGCAAGGGGTTTTTATGCTCAGCATGTAACTTAATACAGGCGAAAAGTTAGTTGCTCAGTATGCAGATTGCTAACTTCTCCTCAGCACAGATCGAAGTTGGAAAAAATATGAGTGGCTGAAAAGGAATGTTTCGATCCATCGAGCCGAAGATAATACAAATTTCTGCGTTTATTCGATTGATACAACAATATCCGGTGATTTTATCAGTCTGTGATAATTGCAGGTTGGGAAGTATGAGCTCTCTGTTGGCCGTCAATCGTGTAAAGTATGAGTGTAGCTGTGGCGAATGGGAAAGCCTGAATCGTCTCTACTTCTGCAGGCATTGTTCGAAAATTCGCTGCACACTGTGCGTGAGCCAGGAGATGGACACACCGTTCTGTCCCTACTGCCTGGACAACGTCTCAACCGGTGAAGCACGCCAGAAGAAGAATCGTTGCTCCAATTGCTACCAGTGCCCCATTTGTGGTTCGTAGTTTTTATGCATTTTGTGCTGTGTACCAGCAGTACAAAACGCATATTGTCACGGGGTTGTCTGTGTGTGTGTGTGTGTGTCCGCAGCAAACTGTCCACAACTTTCAACTCGGGAACCACAAAAGCTAGGAAGCTGAAAATTTAGAGTGACGTCCCCCACCCACGTGTGACCCCGCAAATTTAAATTCAGCTTCCCCGTACCCGAAGGTAACGCGTACGGCCCCGTGAAAGTTTTTTACGGGTAAGTTAATATGTCGGGAACCACAGAGTCTAGGAGGCTGAAATTTTAGGGTAATGACCCTCTGCCCACGCTCAACCTTGCCCATTCAAATTCAGCGTTCTCGCGTTCTCGAGCACCACCTAGGGCCTCGTGGAAATTTTGGCGAGTGAACTATTAACTCGGGAATCGCGGAAAGATATTCATCCTTCAAGGTTTCGAATTCAGCTTTCATGCG